CTGCTCGGTGAGTGAAAGGGGGTGGCGCCGCCACCTCCCCATCGACCCTGCCTTGAGTGTGACAAGGAGCAGTGCCCCAACCCCCCAATTGGCCCTACCCTGAGCGTGACTGGTGGTGACGTCGCAACCTCCCAATCCGCCCTGTTCTGTGCATGATAGGGGTGGCGCCCCAACTCCCCAATTGGCCCTGCTCTGAGCCCAAACAGGAGCTGCGGGGGAGGCACTTAGGGATTGGGCCTGCCCTCTGCCACCTGGGAGCAGTCCTAAGCCAGCAGGTCGTTATCTCCTGAGGGGTCCCAGACTGCGAGAGGGCACAGGCCGGGCTGAGGGACCCCCCGTCCCCCTCAAGTGCACAAATTTTTGTGCACCAGGCCTCTAGTTTATTTATAAAAGAACTGCATTGAAGTGGCCCTTCAGCCAGGACAAGGCCGCCTGGACTGTAAGCCCCACTTGTGTTCCAGATCACATGGTTGGCCGGGACGGTGGCAAAGGACTTAAAGTTGACTTGCGCCTCAGAGAAGCAGGAGGTGGTAGTTAGTTACCTTCCCCTCAGCCACATTGCGGCTCTGATGATGGATATCTGGTTGCCCATGAAGGTCGGGGGTTGCACCTACTTTGCTCAACCAGACGCTCTCAAGGTAAGGTGGAGGGCAGCTGGGGCGAGTGGATGGTTCCATTAAGCCCCAGTTCTAGGGGTTCCTTCTCTGTCCTCATCTTCTGCTTCATCTAGCAGCATCGGAAACAGTTGGTCATATTCTTGTTGTTTTATCCTAACCCCAATCAGGGCACCCATGTGTGGCTGTGTGCTTTTGTTTTTGTTTAAGTCAGCATTCCCAGCTCCCCAAAGCTCCAAAAACCAAACTCATCTCAAGAACCTTAAGTTACATCTGCAAAGTCCTGTTTGCTGTGAAAGAGAACCTATTCACAGGCTCAGGGGTTAGGAGGCAATGTCTTCGGGGGTGCCGCGATTCTCCCTTCCACGCTGTATCAAACAGGCGGCATTAGGCCTTTGTAATTCCTTCCGAAAGGTTTATTCTTCTTCTGTTTGTGTGGCTGCTGACTCCTTGTCATTTAGTTCTCTGCTTACAGTTCTCCCTGGCCCCTCTCACATCCCCCAAGCTCAGTGTCGGAGATGTAGTAGCCACTCGATAAATACTTTGGTTTTTTGGCTGAATGCATAATGCATATACAGACGCTCACCTCCAGGACCCGAGACGTTCCCATTCTCCCACATTCGCATCAGCTCCGCAATATCGTCAGAAACTTTAACGTGATCAACCTGATGGGCGAGAAAGGTTCCCTCACAGTTTCAGGAACCGCCAGGCTTTTCCAAAGTGGCTGTTCCGTTCTGTATTCCCCCCGGAAGTGCATGAGCGAGTTCCGGTTCCTGCGCCTCTTCACTAACACGTCCTCAACATCATCACCACTGTCACTGCGTCCTGGTGGGTGTGAAGTGGTGGCTCATCACATCAGTTGTCATCTCCTTCATGACTCGTGGTGGTGAACGAGTTTTCCTGTGCTTATTGGCTATTGATACGTCTTCTCTGGAAAAAGGTCTGTTCAAATCTCTTGCCCATTTAAAAATATGGTTCCAGGTCCTGGCTGGTGTGGCTTAACTGATGGGGCATCGTCCCACGCACTGAAAGTCTGATTCACAGTCAGGGCACCTGCCCAGGTTTGGGGCTCAATCCCTTTAGCGGGCGGTGTGAGGCGGGGGGTGCAGGAGGTAGCTGAGCCATGTTCTACTCTCACATAGATGTTTTTCTCTCTCTCCCTCCCCCTTCCTCTCTTCACTAAAAAATCTTTTTTTAAATGTGGCTGCATGTCTTCTCATGGATGAGTGTAAGGGTTCTTTAGACACTCTAGATATAAATTAATCTTAAATATAAGTTCGAACATATTTTCTCGCAGGTCTGTGACTTGTCTTTTTGTCTTGACTCTGAAGTCCAATTTCTTTTGTAAAAAATATGTTTTTATTGATTTTTACAGAGAGAGGAAGGGAGAGGGAGAGAGAGATAGAAACATTGATGAGAGAGAATCATCGATCGGCTGCCTTCTGCAAGCCCCCTACTTGGGATCGAGTCTTCAACTTGGGCATGTGCCCCAACGGGGCATCGAACCAGTGACCTCTTGGTTCCTGGGTTGATGCTCAACCCCTGAGCCACAGCAGCCGGGCCAATTTCTTTTTATTTTATTTTTCTGCTTTCGGTGTCGTATATAAGAAATCTCTACCCATGCCAAGGCCACAGAGATCTCCTTCTGTGTGTTCTAGAAGCTTTTAGTTTTGGCTCTTACATTCAGGTCAGTGACCGTTTTGGGTTTACTTTTCTGTTTGGTGAGAAGTAAGGCTCTAAGCAAAGCTTTTAATTTTGGGGGGATATGAATATCCTTTATACCACTCAATTGCCTTCGCATTTTGATTGAAGGTCAATTGATCACAAATATAAAGATTCATCTCTGGGTTTTCTGTGCTGTTCCATTGATCTATATGTCAATTCTTACATTACGACCACACTGACTTGGTTTTAGGGCTTGATGATAGGATGACTACCTTGTCCCCACAGTTTTTTTAACTGAAAAACCCACATTCCAGGAACCCCTTTAGTTCTGGGCAAACCAGGGTAGTTGACCACCCTATTTTAGAATAAATTTCAAAATCAGGTAGTAATCCTTCCAATTTTGTTCTTTTTCAAAATTGGGTTGGCTATTCAGATCCTCCACACTTCCATAGCAGTTTTAAGCTCAGCTTGTCAATTTGTATGAATGAGCCTATCTGGGTTTTGAAAGGGATTGCATCAGTTTGGGGAGAAAGTTGCATCCTTTTATACGGTTGTATAATATCCCACTGCATGCTTGGGCAACAGATTTTTACCAGCCTGCTACTCTCTACCCTAGAGAGAGAAAATCTGATTGGCTGCTGACCAGCCAGTGGGTGGGCTCGCTTCAGTCAGAAGCTCACCCTGGTCTAATCAGCCAAAAGAAGGTTCTCCAGCCCTAGCTGGTTTGGCTCAGTGGACGGTTCGTTGGCCTGCGGACTGAAGGGCCCCAGG